TATTTACTCTTTGGCCTTTCAAACTCATTGGGTTTTTTTTCATGATTTTATTTTATTTTTTTAATATTTTGTTTTTTTACGATGTTTTATGATTTCATAAAGCTTTTTAGTTGTTGTTTTTGTAACCTGAACAGCACTTTGGTGTCAACTTTTGTTGACTTTTTAATGTGCTATAATATATCAATTGGTAGCTTTGGTATGGTCAAGCCTGCGTTCGGAAATTAATGGGGTGGTGTGCTGTTATGGCGTGAGTGAATTTGTTGTGATCCTTTATTGGGTCCTTTATTGTGTCACCTTTATTTTTGTCATATAGGATTGAACATGGCCTGATGTCTCTCAGTATTTCGTCTTTACTTCTCAAGTTTTCTTCCATGCCTTATGCATCCAGCCCTTTTGTTGTTGCTTTGCATTTTTGTATGTAAAGGCTTTTACTTTAACCACTTTTGAGTCCTGTCTGCTTCTGGGTCCAAATTGTGCTCCTGACGTGACAGAACTTCAGAAGGCACCCTGTGTTGACAGCGGGAAACAACTTATGGTTGGACACAACCTCTGATTCTAAATACAGAAATACTTTTCTTTTCAGTGTAAAATGGCTGACCTGAACTATAATCCCACATCACATTGTAGGTCGAAGGTAAAATCCTGGTCGGTTATTGCGACTTTTGGTGCTATAAATCCTTGTTGTAGTGTAAGGAAGACACATGCTAGCAGCACATCACCCATTAGTTGCCATGACGACGACAACTCCTTTTTCTGCTTGACCCAACACAGCAACCGAGAGCACTTAAAAAAACAACAATAAAAAAGCTCTAACTTTTCAAACTTTAGCTGAAACTTACAAAGTTTGAAGAGGATCGGATAAATTCGGTGGGAGGAGTTCACTAAAATCCATCCATCCATCCATTTTCTCCTCACAAGGGTCACGGGGGGTGCTGGAGCCTATCCCAGTTGTCTTGGGGCAGTAGGCGGGTGACACGTGAGCCAGGTGCCAGCCAGTCGCAGGGCACACAGAGACGAACAACCATCCGTGCACATACTCACACCTAGGGACAATTTAGAGTGTTCATGCATGTTTTTGGAATGTGGGAGGAAACCGAAGTACCCATAGAAAACCCACACAGGCCCGGGGAGAACATGCAAACTCCACACAGGAAGGCCAGAGCCGGGATCGAACCCACAACCTCTGCACTGTGAGGTCGACGCACTAACCAATGGACCACCGGGCCGCCCCGTTCACTAAAATATGATCTCCATCAAAGGCCAAAAATGGCACAAAATTTCCAACGTAAAATCAAAGTGCCGGACTTCCTGTTGGGTTTAGGGTATGACTCCAGACATTTTTGTAGGTCTTGGGCAGTTAAATATGCCTCCCAATTGTCGTAGATCTAGGAATGTCGAAAACAAACATTTTCCCCCTGTTTGCTTTGTTAAAAATTCCTGGGCGGCACTACTGACCCACTTTGAAGAAATAGGACAATAACCCTGTAAAATATAAATGCTTTGCCCGGCCTGATGTGTGTACAAAGTTTTATGAGTTTCCACCTGAGTTTATATCCTCAAAACAGTTTTAATTTTCTTTGTAAACAACACTTCGCCAGGGCAACAGCTTGTACTGAAATTAAAAAAAGCTTTCAATAAGTTTTCATCTCAAACATCTATCCATCCATCCATCCATTTTCTGATCAGCTTTATCCTCACAAGGGTCACGGGGGGTGCTGGAGCCCATCCCAGCTGTCTTCGGGCATTAGGCGGGGGACACCCTGAACCGGTTGACAGCCAATCGCAGCATCTCAAACATGTGAAGCTGAAAACACCCAAAGTTTGATGGTGATCGGGTAAAGGAGGAGTTTGTTAAAATATGACCTCTATCAAGGCCAAAAATGCACCCAATTCCAAAATAAAGTCAAGATGGTGGACTTCCTATCTGGCTTAGCATATGGCTCCAAAAAGGACTTTCGTTGTGTTCTTACGGTACATATGTCTCTCAAATTTCACAGATCTAGTTGAAAGGCACAAACAGGAATGCTTTATGAGAATTTTGTAGAGGGCTCTATTGAGCCATTTTATTTCTTTTTTTGAAAATCACACACAAAATTTCTAAAATATTGATTTTTATGCCAGGTCTGACATGTGTGCAAAGTTTTCACCTTGGTTTAGGCCAGGGGTTGGCAACCCAAAATGTTGAAAGAGCCAAAAAAAACAAAAAATAAATATGTCTGGAGCCACAAAAAATAAATAAATAAATAAAAGCCTTCTATAAAACTTACAATGAAGGAAACACATGCTGTATGTATTTAGGAGACTGGACTGTCTCAGAATTGTTTATGTTATTCATTCCTTTGTTGTGTGTTCACAAACGTCCCCATAGAACTTATTTTGTGTTTTCCCCACTTGATTTTCTGTTTTGGTGCATTATTTTCGCTTTTCTTAGTGTCAGTGAAGTGATCATTAATTTCCGTTTTTCGGATGCTGTCTTTGAACGCCTCTCGAATCGAACAAGAGGAGAGAAGACACGCAGTCTGACGCAGACGTGTCTGTGTTTGTCGAGACTGTTAAAAGCATAAATAAAGTGCACGTTTTAAAAAAACCAACACCACAGCTCTCCTTTTTTTCGGAGCTGCAACATGTATCTATATCTATATGAGCTATATTAGCCTACTATCAAAATGATAGTAGGCTAGTGTGCTACAATTACACGATGAGCCTTCATGATTAAATGCTTTTTTTTTCGTGCAGTGCATTCTGTCGAGCAGGGGTGTCAAACCTTTTTTGACCTAATATCTACTTTTTGTTCAACCAACCTACCGCGATCGATCCGCGCATACACAACACACTTACAGACGCATACCTGCCTACCTTCGGTCGAGATCTGACGTGGAGGCATGGGACTCACTTTTGCAGCGTTTTTGACTGTCGTAGCTCACGTGTACCGTTTAAAAAAATGCTTTTCACCATGGGCGTCATTAGGCCTATTTTAGGGAGGCTTCAGCCTCCCTAAAAATGTCTTTAGCCCCCCTAAATAATTTCATTGCATTATTT